AGACTGAAACGAGAACTTTCCCTGTGAAATCTCAAATTTTTCATTTAAAAAACGTCACTCTGCCGATTCTTTCCCTAGGCTCTTCATATATATTTCGTTTTCCCTATCTATTGTGTTCTAGATGTTAAAGCGCGTCGAGTTTTTCCTATCCGATGGAATCTTGTTTTATTCATATGAATGCTGACTCTCTTGTTAACTGTCTTAGTTCATTTCCACCTCTCCATAACGCGTGGAAAAAGCATTTCGCTGTGATTTGCCCCTCTCTGCTACTGCGGTTTTTATTACACTGTTTCTCATATTTCATCTCTGTCAGCTTCTGCAGTTTTTCTAGTTATGTTATCACCTTTATTTTTTCAATTTTCGTTGGCATCTTGACGTTTTTTATTTCAAAATTTTTTGCTTCTTCTCATTCGCGTCTAGCAAATCATGAAAATGAGCATCTATTTAAAGTTCTTGAAACATGCAAACTGTTATTTACTATTTATATATTTATGAAAAAAATGAAGATTTTTAATCGGGTAATATCCTACCATTTCTGCTTCCTGGGATGATTTATCTAATACTATTTGGATATTTTTGGAGAGCCACTCAGAGGCTGATTATTTTAAGCAGTTTCGGTAAACAGTACGATTTTGTTTTTCAAAAACTTATCAACAAGAGAGTAGAAACGTGTCATGATACAAATTTTATAAAAATAACGTATGGCAAATAAACCTTCATCATTTTTAGTTTCTGCATAAAGTTATGATAAATATGATATATACACGTATTTAATTTCTTCCAGTACACATTTTTTCTTCTCGTACCAGAGTAAAAATGAATCGACGGTTTAAAGACAAACATTAGTTTTTAAATATAATTCTTTTCTCGGAATTTCTCGTTGTTCTCATTCTCAGAACTTCTCATTATATGTACTTTGATGCGTATTTGCTTTATCGATTTAATGTAAAGTATTATTTTTTAATATTACTGCAAAATATATAGTTTTTTTTTCAACTTTATGTTTAATTATTTAGTATTTATTCAACGCAAAATATGTTTTATAAATTTTAATCCATATCTTGCATTTGAATATTTTTATTTTTGCTTACAATACTTGATAACAATTTTTGCTATGCATTAAATCTTAACATATAACATATACATTTGCATATAACATACATATAACATATACAAATTGACATATAATTACATTAACATATAACATATACAAATCTTAACATATAACATATATGCTGCATATATAACATATACATTTAAGCACGCTCAATTATACAGCACTACAGTCCGCTGTGAGTCTTGGTCGGCTGAACTATATCATTAACGTTAGTAAAACCTTCCTGTTTTCGGCTTTTAACTAAGTTTTTCGTCTTCAAGGTGGTTAGATCTTTTGTGTTACTCTCCATTATATATTCACAATGGAGTATTTTCATATAACCAAAAATTAATACTAACACATTCCAAAACTATTTCAATTCAAAACTAGGTCTGTAATATCATGAGTAGGGTAAACTAACCAGTGATGGAACACTTAAGCTTCGCTTGCCTTTTCAAAAATCATATTAATTTCATAATTTTAGTTAAATGACAATGTCAACATATTTGTTACTAATTGCAAATTGTGTAAAAACATTTTAGAGAACTTACATAATATTGTTTTAAAGTTTTGGAGGTTCAAATAACAAGTAGTAAGAAGACCAAGTGAAGGAACAGCTCTTACCAGTGAATGAACACNCAAGTCGTTGTGAAATGTTACTTTATTTTGTTTATAAGTCAAATTTAGTTAATGTATTACTGTTTAAGTTGTATGTAGGTATTGTAAAATGATTTATTTTATTTATTTAGGCATTTTTAGAAAAATATATTGAGTGGTATTCGAAAAAAACAAATTTTTAACTTTAAAGTCATTTTTCTCAAAATGTGATATGTTGAACTTGTGCGCACTGCGTACAAAGAACTAATTGATAGAATTGTACGAAACTTTAGGAAAAGTTTTATGATATGGTTTGCTACAACTGGTACCTACTATAAAAACCATTACTCTCTTAAAATTTTTTTAAATAATTGTGTAATGTGCCAAAAATATAGAAATTTGAAAAACTTAAACTTTTTTAATTTTTAGAAAATTAAAATATATGTATATCAAAATAATATTAGGTAACACAGGTTTAGGGTAATTATAACTTTAATTTAAAATTAGTTTGACATTATTTTGATGATATTTGACTCGTACGCTTTGCGCGCAATGAAACTCACTTTTTCGAAAATAAAAAAATTTCACTATATTAAAAAAAGTCTGTATTTTTTTTATGAATGATTTTTTTTGAATTTAGCTATTTAATTATATTGATAATAGTGCTAGTAAATGATAAAAAAAATTTCATAGCTTTAGGATAAATTCAAAGATAGTTACAGTGTGTCGAAAATATGGTATTTCATTGTATCGTTTAAGGCGTTAAAGGGTCCTGACCCCCCTTAACTATTTATTGCAATATATTGCAACACAATATTGCTCTTTATGAATGCTATTTATTGCAACGCAATATACGTAAATAGCATGTTCATAGAAGACTTTAAATCAGGAGTTTTCCAACTTCTTTAGTTTGCAGTATCCTCGCAAAATTCAATATTTTCTAAAACATCCCAATCATTTAATAATTGTTTGCAGTTAATATTTATTACATATATATAATGTATGTTTCATATGAGTAAAACTATAAAACTGAAACTATGAAGGTAAGTGGAGAAAGTATGAAAATAGTTAATTCTACTCAGGCTTAAATCCCACTAAAGTGTAATTAATCACTATAATAACACGAAGGAACTATAATTAATAAAAAAAAAATCAATAAAAACTAATAAATAATGAACTTTAGTATATACTCAAAAAACTTTCAATAGGTTTCTTTAGGTAGCGATCCGTAATAAAGAAATATTGTACTAAAAAGGCTAAAATTATTAAAGAAAGTGTTGTTAAATTAGTAAAAGTTCATGTAAGTGATAAGGAAATTCATGCATTTTACCCTGATTTTCCCCTCTCGGTCACTGTGTTTTTTATTGTTCTGTTGCTCATATTTCTTCTCTGTTAGCTACAGTGGTTTTTATAGTTTTGTTTCTCATGTATCAACTTTACGTTTTTTACTACCTATTTCTTTGTTTACAACTATTTGAATATTACCTGATACAAAATTTAATTAACTTCAAAAGCATACAAAAAGGAAAGAACAGTCGGCATGTTTCCAGAACTTCAAAAATAAGCACCTATTTTTGAGACTTGCAAGACGTGAATGAGAGGGAAAAGGAATATTAAATAAAAAAAAGATGTAAAAGGAATATTAAATAAAAAAAAGATGTAAAATTGCCAACGAAAATTGGAAAATAAAGGGGAGAAACAAAACTAGAAAAAAAAACAGTAGCCGAGAGAGACAAATCAGGGTAAAATGCATTTCCACGTGCTATGGTTGGGTGATGAGGAACTAATGTCGTTAACAAGGGAATCGTCATTCATATAAATAAAACAAGTTGGACATCAAAATGAGCTAATGTGACATGGATGGAAATTAGTTTGGCATTGTCAAAATTGAATTTATGCCCAAGGTTCCTACAATGCGCGGCAGTTGATGATTTCTCGAATTCTTGATAATCGATATAAAGAACTTAGTGGATGAACCGGCTAAGTGACATTTTAGTGAATTTGAGTAAATGACAGTAGAAGTGTTTGCGATCCTCCTTTTTCTTTTTTTTTTCTTTTTTTTTTTTTNTTTTTTTTTTTTTTTTTTTTTTTTTTTTTTTTTTTTTTTTTTTTTTTTTTTTTTTTTTTTTTTGGTTCAATCTTTATGTCTTTTGCGAAGACATAAGTTACAAAATTTTTGGTGGTTTATTTATTTTATTCTAACTTTCTTATTCGAGAAAATTTTAATTAAATTTTTTACGTTGCATTTGCTTGTTTTTACGGACGCTTCTTAATGTTTTTCTTCAAATATAATTTGGTTTGAAAGAATTAATATATTTAGGCTTATATTCGTGGTGTAAAATTTTAGAAACCTTAATTTGAAGCAAACTGGTATCAAATTTTATAATAACCGATCAAATTTTAAATAACCGATCAAAAACAATTCAGTTAGCCGAGTGAGATGTTAGAGTGAGTGATAGTTAGTAGATGTTATACCAGTATGCATCACTTTAATTGCCGAGAGTTCGGTAATTTTTTATTTTAAAAAAGGGTTTCTTTTAAATTGCGCTGATTATGGTCAAAATGTTACGTCATTTCGTTAGATCTAAAGGTATTTCTGAAATTAAATAAAAAAGTATTTTTATTACTTTTAATGCAAAAAATATCTAGTCATAGTTATTAAAATACAAATTATATTCAAATTTTCATTAAAAATTCATTTTCATGAGTATAATCAAAAACTGTGTTTTCAAGTGGTTTGACTTCGCAGATTTTTCAACCGATCAAGAAAACTTGCAAAAAAAGCTGACATATTCCTTTTTTAAGAAAAAAAATTATATTTCTATTATATAATTCGAAAAATCCTAATCTCCATATTTTTCAAACTTCAAAACTTAGACTTTAAGTCTCTTTAGAAAACAGAATTTAAAATAAACAAAATTTGATGGTTAATACAAATAAACTGTTTATTCAAAATCCTTTACTTAGTCATTAATTTAAGAAAAATATACATATTAAAATAACCAAAAACTATTCAAAATGTAAAATTAGAGCATCATTTTCTTAAATAAATTACATTTATCTTTTGACAATTTAATTTTACGATTCAATTCTTTACTATAAAAGTTTGTACAATATAAAAACTTCATTTATTATTTTTGCACAATATAGATCTTTTGTAACAAACAAATATCAGTAACAGACAAATATTTCAAATCAGTTTATTTTACACTTACATGATGCCTGAAACATGTTTCAAAAGCTCTTAGACTTTTCACTTAAAAGTAAAAAGAGTCGTGTTGATTAAATTTGTTTCTCTTTTCTTTAGATCGAAAAGCATGGATGACAAGAAATTGAAAAATCCCTCGTCTCAATCAAACTTCGTTCTAACCAGCTTTGTTATCTTTCTCGGTTTTGCAGGCAGTTTTGCTTTACTCAATAATGCGAAAGGAAGAGTGAGTTATTTAAAAACAATTTTTAGTACAATATTTCTCTCCAGTTTTTAAAAAAAGTTTTCTTTTCCACTTATGTCTTCGATGTTATATAAATATTGATGTAATTTCAGTGCATTTTACGGATATAACTGTGTGAGTTTAAAAACAGGTTATAGCTTTTGGTGGTAAACATTTTTTTTTAAATTTAATTATTGAAAAAAATTACTTTTTTTTAACTTAGTAATTTTAAATGTATTATTTTCTTCCTTTAAACTTTTAGTTCTTAATTTTTATTTATCTGAGATCTTTTTTTGTTCACTATTTGTTATATATAATATAAAAGTTTCTATGTATTTTTTAACCTTCATGCTTTAAGCAATAAGACTTCTAAGGCTTCTAAGTTCCGTGCGCAGTCATAAAACTTCCTTAATTAAATAAGCACACACACACAAACACACCTAAAGTTACCACCCTCGGGATCAAGTCAAATGGTCACTATATGTAGGGGGTCACTTTATGAAGACTCTTTAAAAAGGACAATATACATATAGTTAAATGCACATTCGAAAAACTGGACCATATTGAGTAGTGATTTAATTAATTGACAACCCTAATAACTTCTAAAATATGTTTAACACAATAAAGATAATTAACATAAAACTCACTTTATTTCTTTTGGTATTAGTTGAAGAACTTCCGTAGTAATCGATTTAAATAACACATAATGACAAAATGCACATTGTAATGTAATACTTGATTATCCATAAAATTCTCATTGCAAGCTGTAACAAAACATTCATTAAAAAATTCTACAAATTTTAATAAACTTCCATTCACAGTAAAAAATTCAGAAATTTTTTGTTGCTTAAAACACTTCTTTTCAACAGTTATTGTTTCAGTCATTCCTTCAAGTATCCTTAATAAATCTAGCATTTATGGACAGCTATTTAAGGCACACGTTTTCATGTTGTGACACATCTTTAACATTTCTGCGCTGGAAATTTCATCATATCGCAAATGTCTTGCTTAAAATTTTCTTGATCAACGGAAGTACTGCATGCAGGAATATCACTGTCAAAATTCGTGAATAATTTAGCATCCATTGGTCCATCTTCAGAAGGCAATTGATTTAAAAGATTTTGAATGTGCGAAAGGATATTGTCATCATTTTTAGCTTGTGAATCGCTCATATCTTCTGAAATCTCTTGGGTAAAACCACATTTTTCAAAGCATTTTGAAATTGTCGTTTGGCGTACCGAATTCCACGAGTCACTAATCCACATTAGGGCATCGAGAACGTTTATGCTTAAAGTAATTTCGTTTGCTGATTTGCAATTTTTAGCTCTGGCAATCATCGCTTTGAGAAAGAATTTTCTATAGTGTTCTCAAGATCAAGCTGTTGTAAATGTGATGTTATATTAGCAATAGACAAACTCTTCATTTTAGTATTATAGATTCAGAGACACTTAGAAAATGGAAACTTCTCATTGGTTTAAACTATTGTTTGAAATCAAACCATAGTTTTGTCAAATATTTTAAAGGTAACAACAGTGATGTTTGATAGATTATATCTCTAATCAAAATATTGTTTACTGCACGTTCTGCAACACTTGATAATGTTTTAATTGTTATGCCAGGTTATCTGAATGATCAAAGTGATTGTGTTAGCATAGGGGGACAACGTCATCAAACTAGTATTTCTAAAGTTATGAGAATCCACGTGCTTATTTTGTCAGCAGTTATACTATTAAAACCTGTTACTATAAATCCATGAACTAAAAGGCAAAATTAAAAGGCATTTTAAAATTAATGCTGAAACAGCAGGGATTAGTTTAAAAGAGGGTAAAGGAATCAACAATCTATTAATAACAACAATGATGGTTATTAAATTTTTAGTAATAATTATGAATTAAAAATAAATAAATAAATAAACTATGTACTAAAAAGCAAAATTAATGGAGAAAATGTATTTTTTATGATAACAGTAAAAAGTCGTCGTACTGTTATAAACACCATTGATGTTAAATTTTGTTAATAAGCTCTATTGGCATCATGATACTTGTTACATGTATTTTTTATAAATACCACACAATAGGCTGTTTAAATAGGTACTCGCATAGGAGTAAAAATTTGTAATTAAATTTGTTGTCTGCACAGATGCCTATTTACATTGTAGATTCTAATGATAGATACTATGAAAATAAATTTTTAATGGATTTTCCAAGCGATATATCCCGAAAAAACTGCTTGATAAATGTAAATTTTAAATATCAGGAGTTGCCTTGACCAACAGCATTATGCCAGGTAATACTGAATGCAGTATATCTTTATTTTGATGTTATCAACTACTAAATACGTTATTAGATAATTTCTTAATCTAATAGCGCAAGGCCACCTATAACGGCAACAAATAATTTGATATACACAAAAAGAACATTGGAATTACTTTATTTTTGTTCATAGTGTTAGTATACATCTCTCAGCTTCATAACTGATTTCATAGTATTGTTCAATACTAATATCTCGATTGTTTACTTTTTTTTGACCCCATACAAATAACATGTATTCAGCTAATTCTCTATGAAATAAACCACTCTGATTCTGGACCAATGTAAATTTTTCTCATACTACAAATTGGCAGATTTATTCTCAAGATAAACATATAAATATGATACTTTACAATCAGAAATTAACAGCTTGCACTAGAATTGATTTTCACTATTATAACTTCTAAAGGTTCACATAATTTGTCATAATTTTTAAGCTCTTTAACGTTTATTAGCAAAGCCCACTGTAGATCCAATTTCATTTATTAAAAATAAATGTCTACTCAACGATATTTAATGTCGCCCAAAATATTGTTTAGAATTGCATCATATTTTTAATTCCTTTATCTCATTACATTCCCATTCAAAGTTAGAAATTAATTTATAAAAATGCTTCCTTTCTATATCTATGTATAACATAATATGATTAATGAAAATGCGTATTTCATTATGTGATGTCATAATTAAAATGAAATTATAACTTGTTATGCTACATGAAAACTGAACTCTATATTCCATGAATGCCATTAATTAATAACTCAGCACGCAGTTTTAATTTTCCGAATTAGTAATTATTGTTGAATCATATTTTCCGCATGATTCGTCAACGAATTAATTAAGATATTTTTCTTTTCAGCCGCTTTTGAAATTCTGCTTTAACTCAAGGGATCAATTCGTGTCTGTAAGTAAAATGGATGTTTATTTTCTGTTTATGGAATGATATCAAATTGTTTTTGAATTAATTAATGTCGTTTATTTATATAAATTAAGTTGAGTTAAAAAAAAGTATTAATTAGGGTAATTTTTGTAACCTAAATGCTTACAATGAGTGAGTAAATATGCAATATTCAACATTGGAAGTACCCTTGGGTAGCGGGATACCTGCAAGTTACGCAGAGTGGGTACCTCCATCCTGATTGCTTGTTAAAACGTGGCATTTGCGTACGATAGCAACTGTTCCTTCTATTCTATTTCGAGTAAATCAATCGCGTCAAATATCAATTCTCTTAAGTGGCACCTTCTATGTTCTTTCACAAGGATTCTTTCACAAATATTTCATTTCTTTAACTATATATTTCTTACTAAACACAAAGACAGACACGAGGCCATGTACAACATGTACAAGCTAACTATGCATCGAAGTTGCCAGGCACACAAAACAAAAATATATCACGGTTACAGTAAAATATCGAAACAAACAGAAAATCTAAGTTAGGTAAATGACGTAGACAAGAAAGAATTATATTTCAGCCAATTCGATTTGTGATACAGCGTTGAAAAGCAATTAACTTCACGTTAATTAACATTCAAACTTATGTGGAGAAACTTAACTCAACTTTAATGCGCCATTTTGCATATAAACGATCAGTTGGCGCTGACGTCATAGGTCACATGATTGGGTATCTGTGATTTTCCTCTTCTCCTGTTGCAAAGTACTTAATTGTCACCAGTATATGGTACCACATCACCACGTATGTTTAAAATTTCTACAACCATTTTAGAAAGGATCAAGAATAAATCTAAATTATTACTTCATAACTAAGCTTTTACTTCTATAAGAATACAAAATTATTCTAAATAAATACTTATAAACAAACCCAATTGGCATTGAAAAAGAGTTAAGTGACAAAAAAATAACTATTTTGTTTTAAATTTATAGAGAAAAGACTCATTTAGTTAAATTACGCGTGGCTTACTTAAGTATTAATACATAGCATAGACTTGATTAGTAACAGTCGAATCTCGTTAAAACAAATTCGAAGAACACGAATATGCTTTGTCATCAACCGAAATTCATATTTACTATCAAAACTGCAAACGGTATTTAGTATGATTTTTAAAAAAAATAAAAATGCAAAGTTATAAAAAAAAAATTTTAACGTAATCTGTAAACAAATAAATGTAATAAATGGAGGAAAAAATAAATAAAAATATATTAACCTCTTAAAATTAGACTTCAATATGACATTCGTTTATTGACCTGCCACAGGAAACCGTCTACTTATTTTCCAAGCTAAGAAGAGTTTTCAAAAGCTCCATAGCAACTAGAAACAACCAAAGAGCAACCAAATAAAACGTTCTTAAAAGCCTAACGATCTCTAAATTTCTTCATCAGTAAGAAAATAATGCAATTTCTTTTTTGTGTCTTTCCCCATAGCCACCAGCTAAGTCGGCACCATTCATCCCATCGTCAAAAGTTCACGGTTCCTCATGTGTTCTGCTGGTGATATCACAAATCGCAATTTTATATGAACTAACGGTGAAACCTTTCTGAATCATTTTTTTTTTCAATTTGGTCTTAAAAAGAAAAGGGAGTGAAATTAAGATCCAATGAGGATAATTATGTTCAATTTTGAGTGCCAAAAGCATTCCCGCAACAGCCCGTTGTGGGCCAGGCTGTCATGGAGGATAGGGCTCCCCAATTCCTTGACCAACGGCATGTTTTATGGCAATGTCGTTAGCCTTTGCTTAACAGATGAGCTGATACCCATTGATTGAAAACTGGGAGGGTTTCAAGCCGTTAGTGAGGATCGAACCCCTGCTCTCCACAATGACAGCCCAATTTCTTAACCACTGAGCTATCCCATAGTATTGAGTGGCACATGCTATGAAATGTTAGATGCTCCTATTAATTCTTTGATCTGACTCTTGACATTGTAAAGGATTTGAGTGATTAAGGATTTAAGTGGTAAAGTAAAAGATTTAAGTATCTGATTAGATTAAGTGCTGAACCTTTTTTTTTTTTTCAATTTGGTTCTTGGTAAAAAGAAAAAGGTAAGCAGTTCGGATCTAATAATAATATTTATCTTTAATTTTGAGTGGCATAAGCTATTAAATGTTAGAAGCTTTTGAGCAGATCTTGAATTAGAGGTCTTGGTATTGTTAAGGATTTAAGTTTGTAGGTTATTGAAAAAAATCATAGAATAATATTTAAACGAAAGTGGAAAAGTAAATTAAAATGGAACAAAACATACCTGGATGAAATACGTAACATCTTCAGGGAACACCCTGTATTCGTTCATATGAGTGTTTTTCGGTTTCTATAACTTATAACTGTTAAAAACAAAATTCGGATCTCGATGAGCCATTTGGAACAAATTAACATTCAAAGCATGAAAAGCAAAACAATTTTTAAAACAGAAATGAACTATGCATGCATCTAAAAATCTCAATAAACCGCCAAAGAATAACATACCATTCCAAATCATGTTTTAAATTAAATTCGTGATTAGATTCAGAGTTTCTTCAAAGGTGCAGCAGGTAGCAACTCACAACTATTTGAAAATTTTTTGTTTTAATCAGTTAATTCCTCGTTTAATTCATTTTCATTTTTAATTTTGATTTTTCTTTTTATATTTCATTATTATTTAAGTTTGAAAAGAATAAAAACAAAATTTGGGTTAGTTTACAACATGTTAAATTTCATCTAAAATGATTAAAAATAGTTTTCAGCGAACAAGCATTTTTCTAAAAGTTTTGCGTATGCGCATGGATGGCTTACTCAATACCGAATTTGGATTTAGCTCTCTATTCTGAAGGGCTAATACTTGGGTTGTTGAAACACTGTTAATTTAGGATCTATTTTGTCTTGCTTGCAATTTAAAAGTTAAGGCTATTCCATTAGCACAGACAAATAGTTAAAATATTCATTCATATTATTCAATTATCATATATTTTAAAACGTATGCACATCTAACTGGAAAATGTAATTAATAGATTAAAAAAATATTCTGCTAGTTTTGTTTTTAAACTAATTTGACGCACATATTATGATCAAACAATTTTTATATTTGATTTCGCAAAGAAAAAAATTAGTACTTTGAATCATGTCGCATAAAATTCTTAAATTTACTGAGAGGATAGAGCTACTAAAATATTATTAATTAAGAATCGATTCACAATATTCAAAAATTCGTTTTCAAATATCTTTAATTAAACATCACTGCAATCCAAAATATAGCATTCATTATCATTTTTTGTATGCATATGAGAAATGATTTATGCTTTTTAGCTAGAAATGTACGGTGTATTTTATAAATATTTTTTTCTTGTCTTATAAATCTTTTTACAAAATAATTAATTATTTCTTTAATTTTGAAAAAAAAAACTATCTTATCTGGTATTTTCGGTAAAATATAAACTATAATTAAAAATGCAAAAGACGTAAAACCAAACAAAAAACTTAAGCTTCAAGAGCCCCAGGACTACATTTTAATTAAATAACAAGTTTAAAGATACTAAAACAAGAACCTTTAAAGTATTAAAAAGACGATCATTCAGGAACTAAAAGTTGAACTTTGGTGAAAGTATTCGCATAAATTCTAGGGACATACATTCTGAATTTAATTAATGACATATATTTGATTATTTTTAATTTCTACACTGAATAAAATGTATAGCCTGAAATAACAGAATATGGTAAAATTTGCCATGTTTCTGACTCTACGGGAACTTACGTAAAACTCTTTAATTTTTACCGAAGTAATTTGCTAATTATTTTGGTAAGATAGCATAATGTTTTATAGTACGTGCAAAGTTGATAAATGTGGTAAAATTTAGTTATTTTATCATCATGCCTTAAAGACTGGCATTAAAACGATTTATTCTGCATAACTTACTTTTCAGTTTTGTATTTTTTACTAAATGTGTGATAATAAAAACTAAAATTTTGAAAAGCAGAATTTCCGGTAAATCGTTACCATATGAAAGGAAAAATTAAGAATCACCAAATGAACTGTTTAAATTTTTTAATCAACTCTATATAGTAGTAATAGCTGAAATAGTCGAGGTTTACTAAATTTGTAAATGACATAACCATGTTCCACTTTTATGAAATTGCATAAAGGCTAATATTATTGTTTAATTTTCTATCTTTTCAAAAAAATAAAGTAATCAAAAGCCTGATTGCAATGACATACGAAAAAAAAGTTTCGTCTCATTAACAAATAGATTTTGTTATACAAATTTGCAAACATTTTATAAATTGCCGAATTTTTAAACGTTAAAACTTAATCATTTTTAACATAATTCATTTTTAATTTCATTCATTCACTTTATTCATTCATTCATTCATTGCATTTCATTTATTTAAGTTTAGAATGAATTATATTTTTAAACGGTAGAAAAAAATCAATCTAACACAATTTTGCTCCAAGTTATAAATTATAACAGAGAAAACGTCAATTTTGCCATATACGGAGAAAAGAATTTATATGATAATGTCATTTCTACTGAAAAAAACATGAATGTTTTTTTACCACGCACATGGTAACGGTTTATCGGAAATTCTGGTATTTAAAATAAGAGTCACCAAACATTTAGCACAAAATACAAAACAGAAAAATAAAGTGGTTTTCGTGCACTAGGGTATCATGGTAAAATTATTAAATTTTACCATATTTAATAAGTTTTATCAAATAGCATAAAACTATTTTATTGTTAACTTTATCAAAATCATTAATAAAGCGCTACGGTAAAAATTAAGGAGCTTTCTAGTGTTACCTTAGAACCAGAAAACGGTGAATTTTAGCAAATTCTGGAAGTTATGACCATACTTTTTTCTCACGGCAGGACAAACCATATGTACGGCAATTAAATATTTAAACCTGTTTAGGGGGGATTGTTAATTTGAAATTCCCGTTGATTTGAAATTTTTTACCCAAAAATTTTCTAAAGTCACTTATAGAGTATTTTCTTACCATAAGTTTTGTTTCCAAATAAAACACCCTTGAACGATTATATTACATCATAAATCATAAGTTTTATATTACATTAAATTTTAATCATTTATTTAATTCTTATCCCTTATCAATATTTTTTCAAGGTATAATTTTTTAAGGTAACTTCATTTAGTTAGCATTCTGAATAAGTTCTAAATCAAAATTAAGCTCTATCTTTATAAGCTTTATTTTAGTTTTTAAACTAATTTTTTTTGTAACTTAATTAGTAATGTAAATAACTTTAAAAAGCAAGTTTAAGCTTTATTCAAGTTTATGACCTTTATCGTGTTCCTCAACCAAACTTTTCCTTATTAGCTTTAAATTGGCATCGTGGACAACTTTTAAAGCCAAAATTAAATTCTAAACTGATGAGCTTCATCTTATTTTACTAATCAAACCTTTCTTTATTGATATCTTTTTGCATTGCGAATGAAAGTTCGAAGGTTAAAATTAATTTATATTCTTGCAAAGCTTTATCGGTATTATTTTTTCCACACCATAATTTATTTCATGTATCTTTATTTAAGTAGCATTGAGAGTAAATACAGAGGCTAAGATTAAGGTCTGTCCTTTTGTAAGATTTATAAACATGATTACTGGATTGAAAAGCGAATGTTTATACTAGAGATTGCACGAATGGGACAGTATTTACCTATACACTGAATGTATATTCTCTTAACTCACAGTAGTTTTATGTCTATTCCAAAACCAGTTTATAAAATAAATTTATTTATGTTAGACTCCGTTGCAAGTTAAGAAAAAACTATTGGGGTAAAGGAAATTAAGTAAATCATCCGAGAGTGCATATGTTCCGTTTAATGTCGTTATTAAATTGTAACAAATAAGCTTTCAAGGCAAAAGCTTTTAATAGATAAACGCACCAAACAAAAATTTAATTCATGCTATCTTTTACGATACACATCATAGAATTATTTAAAAAAAAGGTTACAGCTTCGTAGCATTACTAGACTTGGCGACATATTTCGATAAATAAGAACTTTTGTTCTTGAAAATAAAAAACAAATATGTGACGTTGCAGGAGTATTGGATTTGATTGGACAACTAAAAGTAAGTCTTATGGTGCCCTTAAATCAAATGGAAGATAAAGAATTTTTACTTTTGTTTCGCCGTCGAAGAAAATCGTCTGCAATAAACATTATAATGAAATTCATGATTATTTTTGATTTTGAGTCGGTCATGAAATGAACAATAAAGGTGAAATTTATGACTGCATAAACAAGCAGATTCATAATAGAATTGAAACTGTATTTTTTAATTACAGATTACTAAAAAGTACATCAATTTCAAGAAAATGTAACATGCAAATATATAAAACTCTAAAAAGGCCAATAGTGACGTATGGATCTGAAATTTTGATTTTATCTAACATAGCTGAAGAATTTATGGAGATATTTTTTTGAGAAATTATGGAAGAATTTAGGAAAATTATTAAAGAAAATGACACATGAAAAAATACAACCATGAAATAGAGAAATTAATTAAAGGGAAATACATCTTAAGATTTAACAAAGAAAGAGGAATATAATGTATAGGTCATTACAAAAGTTAAGAAACAGACATGCCTAAGAAAATTATGGAAGGAAATCGCGTTATAAACGCGAATGGTATTTATATGATAAATGAAATTGTATTACTTTAAATTTTTAATATTTATGGATACAAAATTAATGCATAACAACACATTTATGAAAGTATAGCAGCTGCCTTTGAAATAATATTTTTGATGGGATTCAACATTTTCGGCAAATTTGAATTTTTGATACTCCCAATTAGTTAATAACTGAAACATGCTGAAAAAACATGAAATAGTTTTCAAAATACAAAATTTTAAAAGCTAAAAAAATTTATATTTGCAATAACTTGACAGCAATTTAACAACTAATTAGCAATTAATTCAGTTTAACAATTAACTTGAAAATCTTAGTTCGTGTATTGTACACAATGTTAAATAAGTTATACCTCATTTTGTTTTTTATATTGGAAACAATTTTAGCCTTCATTTCGTTTTTTATAATTTCATATTAAATAATAATAGTTTAATTAATGTCGCATATACTTTTATTAATCTTAACGTGGACCAAATTTTGTGCAAAAGTTATTTTAGGTCTTTTATGTAAAAGAAACTTAAATTGGAAAAACAAATTTAACTTAATTTTCAATATAAATAATCCCTAATTTTTATATTTAAAGTATTTAATGCAACATAAGACATTCTATTTTCGTAGACAGAATCTTGAAAGTTTGTTTATACTAATTACCAGCTGTAGGCAATGATTTTTGACATCTTATAAACGTCTTATTCTGGAAAACTCAGAACTTCGAGACGTTTTGACCAGAAGATTTGTTAGATCAAGATTCTAGTTTCTGTGACAGGTGAAAGACAATTGAAAGGGAAAATCCAATAATAAACTTTTTCGCAGGGAATTATTATTCGTGACTATTTCCAATGTTTGATATTATAAGAGTTTTGTTTGGCCGGGAATAAGACAAATAATGCACTGAATGATTATAATTAAAAAAAGGCTTTTAAAATTATAATCACTCTGCCCCGAAAAGCCTTTCTTTTTTTTTTCACAAGGCTGTAAAAAAAAGAGAACATGCTGAAAAGAAAGAGAATGGCCTAACATTTCATCTGAATTTGAGTGAAGCTATAAAATTATAAGAATTTATTTTATGAAAAAAAAAGAAAAATTGTTCGTAAGTTGAAAGACAGATGGCGCTGTACTAGACAGAATAAGCTAAAAAGACTGTCGTTTCGGCTCTCTTTGTTCAAGGTTGATCGACCATAACATAGGTGATACCGCAATGCGTTGGGAAGCTAATCGGCTTTTATTGTTCCTAAAAACAGTAAAAAAAAATGCCAAAACTGATAAAACCACCGTAAAAGGAAAGTTAGCGACAAGATTCTTAAGAAATAGTTAATATGATGTAGTTCATTTCCTAAAAGTTTAACGAGCAAAACTGTATATTCCTGAACAGATCGAAGTGGCTCAGTAATGGTCCAACGTTCCCTGCCTTCTTATCACAAATATAATGTGCGGTGTGTAGGTCATATTTTTTAATTGGCATATTAAAATAAGCATAAATTTAACCCTTTTTGCAGCAACTTTCGATTGAAAAAATAAACCAGGTAGAACATTAGCAAGAGCGGCCTTAAAAAGTACATCTCAAGTGAAATGATGCACTTTAGATCTTAGTAGTTTAATCCTTTCCGGAAAAGCAAATTCTTATTTAAAATTTTTGTCAGACAAGACATGAGCAAATTTGACTTCAGACAGTACATTCTATGTGAAGCGACATTATTTAGTTCTTTTTTGTTAAAAGAATAGTGATGGCTAACAGTTTAAAAGCAATTAGTTTTACATTTCTAGTAGTTTGTAACATTTGTTGAATTAGTGTTGACAGTCAGGGTACACTACATAGTAAAAGGTTTAAGAGGACGCCATGGGAAAAACTTTTCGGCTCAAATTCTCTTACAGCTCCATAACTGATTTAAAATTTAGTATACAAATAGTGAAGTATAGAAAAAGTGAATTTAGACAAACCTAGGGAAAATCATGAAGTTTCAAATACTGAAAAGAGATTGTTAAAATATCTAAATCTTTCAACATATTTGCAAATTTTTCTCAGCTATTGAAATTTTGTGGTCTGAACTCACTTTGCACTTTCTTTTAAGTTTTAAATTTGTAATGGAGGTTAAAGAGAATTTCAGATGAAAAGTTTCTCCCGTGGAATGGCGTCCTCTCAAACATTCGTGCTTCAGCATCTTATATGACGACGGTATCCCCATCTGTCGACCAGCACTTAAATTGTTTTCGTCTTTCACGAAACAAAGTCCCATTGCGTGTTGTATACTAAGAAGGAACATCAAATTATTCTGAAGAGTGGTAATTTTTAGCAGCCTTTCGTAAATGCACCTTTCTTTAATTGCAACCATAAGTAGAAAAAATAATTTTAATATTGTGATTTTAAAAAAAAATTCTCTTAATGTAAAATAAGTGCTGCGTCCATAAAAAATTTGTTTTTAAAATCTATAATGCTAATTTTTTTTTCAGGCACAATGCGTCTTATGTGACTTTTACAAATTTTCAGCAACAGTAAGTATTACTTTGATTATTACACCATTTTATGAGTATTTATGACATAATGGTTTAAGATCACACAAATGTAAAAGCACTTTATCAAACATGTAGATACTCTTACGTGATCTCAAACCCAATATTTAATTTATTTTAAAGAAAACTAATGAAAGTTATTTTACATCACAAATTCAATAGGACATTATTTTCAATTCATTATTATTATTCTTATTTAGGATCATTTTTGTCTGCATTTTAAACTCCAACACTTATAAAAATGTTTAACGTTTCTTTTCAGGTGCTTGGATGCAATGGACGGGTATGTATCAAAAATTATTTCTTAATAGTTTAATGCTTAAACTTGAACGTTGAAAGCTGTCGAAACATATGATTAAAAAAATGTATCGAGCATAATTTAAACTTAGGTGTTTGTTTGTTTTATAAAGGCATACTTTAGTTTATTAAAAATTAACTAAATCTATGACTCTTAATTCAACTCGTTTTAATAGTAAAATAAAGTCATATAATTAAAAAAAACGTTACAAAGTATTTTTACAGTGCTATACCTTTTCCATTTCTTGTTCATAAAACGAATCCTGGCTGATCCAAATTTTTTTAAACTTTATTTTTACATCATAAGCTATCCGTCTTTTTAATAATTTCTGATTTATTTCATTCATTTTAAGTTAGGGACAGAAAAATTGCCAAACTATTATTGCGTTTTTTTTCTCTTTTTTTTTGGCAGCATTACTTTTTAGTTTACTTTCAAAACTGCTATCTTCGAGCAATGAAATTTTAATAAAAAAATACATTTAGACATTCATTATTGATTTATTATTCAGTTGCTGTAATATTTAAAGAAAGAAAGAAAGATTAGGTATAAAATTTTTAATTTTAAGCAGTAAAAATCATAATTTTTATTGTTAATCCGAAATCTGAAAATTGTACAAAATCTTTACAGGTCACAATTATAAAATAATATTTATATAGCAACTGCATTGTATCGATTCATATCATATCAAATTTGCACTTTTAGCAAATTCTAAAATCTCTTTGAACGAAATAAAGTAATAATGTTTTTTTTTTAATATTGTAACTAATTATAACTATATTTAATTATAATTAAGAGGAGCACTGAGTCGAAGATACTAAACCAATTCAAAATGACATATTTTTTAAAAAGACTATTTTAATTAGACTTTGCTTCTTTATTTTCCACAAATTTATTTTTAGAAAATCTGTATCTTTCTACTTTTATTTTTAACACCAAACCAATTTCCTAAACATTCGATGAGAAATTTTACTGGATTAATTAGTTTTTTACAATGTACTTTTTTCCATTTTTAACTATATTTGAAAGAGAAGCTAGAATATGAATAATATATAATTGTAACTCTTTGAAACATCTACATTTTACTAGAAAAGTGCACAACTAAATTACTTTTCTTTAACACATGTCATGAAAAATACTGAATAAACAATTTAGTGACATGCATGCACTTTCGCGTCAGATATTGTTGAAGAAACAGAAACTATTGGATTTACAATATTTTGAGCGAACAAAATTTAAAAAACATAATCTATTACATATTTTTTGCACACATTCCTTCCTTAAGTTACTTGTTTATGAAATAATATTACAAACTTCATTCACTACAATTCATATTTATTAGTTACATTTTTTTTAATATTGTGTTTTAGTGACAAATAAATTACTGCTGACTTTGTCCACAGAAAGCTATTTTGAAACAACTCGTGAGACATTTGACTGATCATTTGACCTTTAATAATTCCTTCAATAAATCAATGACTATCTAAAATTTTCAGAAAAGATAATGGAAACTAATAGTTCACCTAGTTTTCTGAGTTACAAGTAGATGAAAAACTCAGTTATGACATCGCGTGTGCTTTTTTAAGTTTGAATTTATTATCTTATTAGTTAATCCAATAAATAATAAGAAAAATTTGAAATGTTTCATGTAATGACTTAATTATACTCGGAAAGGGTCTTGATAACATTTTATTTAAAACCGTATTTAGCGGACATTATACCATTAATTAAATACAAATTGCGTTTAATCATGGATGGCAAGTCCTAATTTACTATTTTAAATTAAGTAAATTTATTGTTTCAGCAAAACTGAGAGGGGAAGTACCTGAAGTGTTATTTACAAATCAAGCATAATTTTTTTATATACAATGTACTTTATTTTTGGTTATGAAATAATAGATAGTTATAAAATATTTGTCTATTTCACATTTGTTGCCGATAAAAGTCATTGAACAAATGTGTAACAAATATTTGTAAAGAATTGTAGAAATTTTGCCAAATATGCGATAAATAATACAGTTGGAAAAAGCATGTTTAAGATATTAATAAACAAATAATTTCAAATGATTTCTTGTTAGAGTTCTAATTAAGCTAGTAAATCACAATTTTAAAAAATTTACTTCCCAAGTGTATAATCGGGTGCTTGCAACTTGAGAAGAAGTGAACTTATTATGCCTAATTATGTGATTTAAATCATATTAAATTGGATACTTGTAAACGATGCCTCGCCTGTGAGCTAAACTCATTGTCTGGTGTATCGGCAAATAAGAAGATTTTTCCACGATGACGTCAGTTGCAGGTGTCCAATTATACAAGATCATGATAAATCATTGCCTTCACCACTGTAGCATCGTAATATCAACATGCATTGCAATATTTTCGAAAAAAGTATTCATGAGAATAATATTTCGAATATTTTATCTGTCGTTAGAACGTTCAATAATTATTAATTAATAATTAATAATTATTTATAAATTTAATAAGTACGATGAAGATTGACAACATTTCGTTCCCCTGCCGATAAAATATCTATTTCATTTCTAAACGTTATTCTAAGTTGCAAAAAGTAATTACTCTAAATATTGAGTATTATTATTTTTGTTATTATTATTACTATATATTTCTTTTCTAAATTATTAATATTATGCACCTATACGAAACCTGTTACACAATCGCAGAAACAAGTCAGTTAGCCATCACTGTGCCATCACTTTTGCTAATCTATGAGTTTTACCTTCATATTAAAAAAAAACTCACTTTAAGAAATAAACTATTGAAATTTCCCAATTGTGTATTTGATTTTACAAAATAAATTATGAATAATTAGCGTGTTTGTTATAACATTTGACTTAAAAAAGTGATGTTACAAAATGTTTTATAAAAAGCTATACAAACTTGAATTATTTAAGTAATTTTATTTCGTAACTTTCAACATTCTGAATCTTAAGAAATTCCAAATTCCAGAATGATAGAACAAACTGTTCTTATGTTCACACAGACAGAGAATATTATTATTATTATTATTATTATATATTTCTCTTTTTAATTAGTAATATTAGATCTATCGGAAACCTGTTACACAATCGCTGAAGCGAGTTAGTTAACTCCACTTCTCTACTATCACTTTTGCTAATCTCGTAGTTTTACGTACGTATATTAAAAAAACTCACTTTAAAAAATGTCTAAGACTTAAAAAAGTAATGTTGTAAATTTTTTGTTAAAAAGCTATAAAAACTTGGAATATTAAAATAATTTCAACTTGCAACCTGCAACATTTTCAAACTCAAGAAGCTTAATTCAAAGCAATTTACACTTACTAAAAGCAAAAGGTCTTAATTTAACTTTGATTCAAAACATTTCATTGTGTTTTTCTAACTTTCTTGACATTTTGTAAATTAAAATTATCTTACGCTATAGTTTTAACCACTTTCATTCTATTTATTCCTTCAAGAATATTTTTCATTAGATAGATCTTAAATCATTTTTGCATCAAGTAATAAAAATAAAACTTGAATTTTTAAAGCCAATTCTCTTACATTGTAACTAAATCCAATGTTATTAAAGAATTTAACTAAATTATTTTAAAGAAGAAGATGCTTCGTGAACTGAAATTCTTTTCTTTTTGGGAACACTAATTCCACTTCAGTTGATAGGCACAAAAAAGATTTTCTACCAGATTCAAGGCGAAGAAAATAAAACAAAATACTTTGCGGCTCTTTTAGAATTCGTTTTTTATTCCTTCACTTAAATTAAACTAACTTATTTCGTAATAGGATTAAATTTAAAATGATTTTTAATTAATCTGTCGAAGCTGCTTCGATACAACAATTTTCAGTTATCTTTATCGAGAAAAACTCGTTAAAAGCATTTTCAGATACTTATGTTGAAAATGTGTACCTACTCGTAAAAATAGAATAAAAAACCGATGATATAACTTACAAATGAATTTTAATTTTACTCATCCGAACGGTTTTGAAATAACTATTTTTTGGTATCTTTTCCAAGAAAATCTCTTAAAACTAGGATTAAATGCTGATCATATAATACATTACTGAAAAGGACTTTTGATGATTTTATCCAAGCTGTTTCGAAACAACTTTTTTTATGTCTTCGCCGGGACAAAAATCGTTAAAAGTCTTTTCAGATATTTATGCTTGATATGTGTATTTTCTCCGTAAAGTTAAGTTCAAAAATTTATCATAAAATACACAAATAAAAATAGTTTTCAATATTTCTTATCCTATCTTATTTGAAACAACTATTTTTAAATGTCTTTGTCAGTATAAATTTCCCTTAAACAATTTTTGGATACTTATGCGTAAAATGCTAACGGAGAAAAAAATGGTAAAATTACCCATACCTGTACAGTAATGATATTTCTGGTAATAAAACTAAATTAAACGGTATTTAAACCATTCATTTGGTAATTTAAACACTAATTCCACTTCAAATTTTAGGCACAAAAATGATTTTCTAATGACTTCAAGGCAACAAAATAAAACAAAACAATCTGTGGTTCTGATAGAATTATTTTTTTATTCCTTCACATAAAATAAACTACAAAATAGTTTGTGATTCTGATAAAATTCTTTTATTATTCCATCACGTAAAATAAACTACAAAGTAATATGTGGTTCTGATAGAATTCTTTTTTATTCCTTCACTTAAGATAAACTACAAAATAATAGGTGGTTCTGATAGAATTCTTTTTTTATTCCTTCACATAAAATAAACTACAAAATAATGTGTGGTTCTGATAGAATTCCTTTTTTATTTCTTCACATAAAATAAACTAGCTTATTTTACACTAGGACTGAATTTAATATGATTTTTTATTTACCTATCCAAGCTGCCTCGATGCAACTATTTTTAGTCATCTTTAACGGGATAAAACTCACTAAAAGCATTTCCAGATGCTTATGTTTAAAATGTGTACCTTCCCGTAAAGTTAGAACAAAGAACTTGTGATATAATACACAAATGAATTTTAATGTTAACTATCCAAACTATTTTGAAACAACTAGTTTTGGTATCTTAGTCAGAATTAAACTTTAAAAATTATAATAAAAAAATTTATCATATAATACATTAAGGAAAATGATTTGTAATGTTTTTAATTCAAGCGGTTTCAAAACAAATTTTTTGGATGTCATTCCCCATAAAGTTTGTCAAAAAACTCTGATTATATAATACACAAATAAATTTTTTAGTGGTTTTATTTCAAACATGCATTTTTAAATGTCTTAGTCATGATAATTTTTGGTGAAACATTTTCAGATATTTATGCTTGAAATGTTAACGAAATTGGTAAAGGTAAAATGATATTTCTGGTAAAAGAAACAACATAATACAAATCAAATTATACAGTATTTTAACTATTCATTTGGTAATTTTTCCGTTAATACGGTAATGGTTTAATGGGAGTTCTGTTTTTCAAAATAATAGTCTCATTACCTCACATTTTGCAAAAAAATCAAAAATGAAAACTGAATTTAACATAGTAAATGGTTCTTATGCCGCGCTCTGAGGTAATGTGATAAAACTACAATATTTTATAAAAGCTTAAGAAACTATATTTTATTGAAATTTTGCCAAAAAAATAATACTATAAAAATTCCTGTCGTATGACACACATTACCTCGGTCGTCATTTTAAGAGATTAATATTTTACTCATTTTCGTGCCTATAATGACAGAAGGCATTCAAAATTTCGACCGCTTTTGAACTAGTTAGAACTCTCAAATTTTAATTATAGCTCTGCACCGGAAAGCAATATATATTTTAATTTACTCCACAGAGACACAAACAGAATTTATTATCATTTTATCGACGAATCAAATTTATCGTCACACGGAGAATAAAAGTTAGGTGAAATTACTGCTCTGTATAGAAATGACATTTTTGGTAAAAAAAGAAAATAAAACATAATTCTGGTTAATAAAACCAAAATGTACGGTAATTAAACCAATTATTCGATATTTTTTCCATTTACAAGGTGTCAGTTTTCTGAAAATTCTGGTTTTCAAAAACATATTACCACACGTTAAATCTAATTACCACACAAGAATAAAATAATAAATTTCACTGAACATAATAAATTTAACTGAAAATAAATTTAACAGAATAAACGGTTTTTAAGCAACTCTCTATAAGGTATCGTGATAAATTACCACATTTACTATAAAATAATATGGTAATAAAACAATGTATTATTGTTAAAAATACCAAAAGTCATTGCCAAAGCGCTTCGGTAACAATTGCTTTTTTTTTTGGTATTCCAATCGAGCCAGAAACACGGTAAATATGACCATATTCTGGTAGTTTGGACTATACTTTTTTTTTCTTCATGCAAAAAAATAAGTGTATGCATATATATAAGACTGCCCGTAATACTGCTCGAATTCATTTTGGCTAAGATTCTATGAGATGTTGATAGGTGGTAGGAGGAGTTTGACCCCATATACGATGAACTACACTTTTCAGTCAGATTGAATGGAACTGGATCCAGTAGTCTGTTAGTTCGATCTCATAACACAAATTTTCAATTGGTGAATCTGGTGATTGTGCGGGCCAACGAAGCAATGTAAAGTCAACGTCATGTTCTTTGAACCATCTGGCGACAATACAAGCTGTATCACAAGGAGCATTGTCTTGCTGAAAGTATCCATCCCGGCAGGGTACCACCAATAACATAGTAGGATGTACTTGATCTGCGATAACACTAAAATACCCTTGGAAATTCAGACGTTGTTCCACAAGAATCAAAGGACCCATGCTATGCCAAGAAAACATCCCCAAAACCATAACATTGCCTCCATGAGCGAGAAGTGTTGTATCAATGCAGTTGGGGTTCATGCTTTCGTGCTTCGTTCGCCACATCCGAATCCTGCCATCAACATGGTGTAATTGAAAATGTGATTCGTCAGACCACATGATCCTTTTCCAGTCATCTACAGTCCAATATTTTGCAAACTGGTGATGCTTGCTCTTATTCAGGGCTGACAGCTGAGGCTTTCGAACAGGTCGTCGGCTCCCATAGCCTATACGGTGCAATTTGTGGCGCACAGTTCGGCGACTTTCGCAGTTTCACCTTCATTAAGATTCCCTACTACTTGACATTTGGTTGCTCTTCAGTTAGACTGGACAACTCCAGCAAGTCTCCTTCTAGCTCAAACATTCAGTAGCTGGTGATGACCACAAGCTGGATGTTGAGACCCAGTTTTCTGGTCTCAACATCCTCTCTGTGCATACTAACAATTGCTGCTCTCGAACGCTTTACAAGAGCAACCGCTTTGCTGATACAGATCCCGACGCTTCAGGCACCTACAATTATCCCGCATTCAAACTCAATTAAGTTACGTTTTTGCCTACATCTCCGAGCGTAACACAGTGCAATTGACGGTTCACTTGCCTTACATGCTCTTTTCGTAGATATTTCGCCCTCTAGCGGCAACACAGCGTCCCAATTGCTCATATTTTTCATAAAACTGTCAGATAGTCATAAAAATTTGGCCACTCGGTATATATATATATAT